GAGAGCGAGAGCGAGAGAGAGATTCAAAAAATAATTGTGGGTATGGCTTTTGGTGCATAGAGTGGATTCAAATCACAGAAAATGCACAGAACTTTTTAAGGAAGATATACTAATAAAAGTGACATCAATCTAAATTAAAAGGGACTAAATGTAAAACGCTGTGGCAAGGAGGGGCTGTCATTTCAACATAGGATTTTCCAGAACTGGAAGGGACCTTTAGAAACCCAGAAGTCTTTCTGGGTAGTGACTCCAAAGTGTGGTCCCTGAAGTGCTCCTAATGCTTTGGAACCTGGAGATGGTGGAGCCTCATTTCAACTTCAGGCAACTTCTATATGGAGGACTTTTACATAAGAGTTTGTTTGAATAAGGTTCCTGCTATTTAAAAAATGGAAAGCACGGGAGTCCAACCTCTTCACGGTCTGTATAAGGAATCTGAGACTTAGAGAAGTGAAATAACTCAGACTTCCAGGCACCGTTTCTCTCCTGGCTGCCCTTGCCCTGCTCCTGCCCTAACAAGTAAGTCAGGAGAAGTGGAGGTCAATTTCTGTATCCAAGGATCCTGCATCCCATCCCCGAGCTGTTACGGGCTTTTCTTCTTTAGCTGGGATCCGCACCATGACCCTCCCAAGCTGTGGTTGTGTGATAAAGAAGGTGGAATCTGAGATGGAGAACGACAGCCCCCAAGAAGGAATCTGGGGTGAAGAGGGCAGCGTAGCCGTTCGCTAGACAAGATCTTCAACTCTGGGGACTGGAGGCAATTGAGAACAATTTTGAAGGTGCAGATTGAAGAGGGTGGGGGAGTGCTGAGGCCCAATCGGAGTAGTGGTGGGGGAGCAGGTTGCCAAGGCCCCTTTCCGTCTGCTGCTGCTCTGCGCGGCGGAACTCCGCGCCCTCCCTCTCGGGGATGGGTCCGACTTCAGGATACCCAGCTGTGCCTTTGTGTGTGTGGGTTGTGGGGTTACAGACGCCGGGGGGCCAGTTGCCATTTCAGAGAAGTCAGCCTTTTTCTGCCTATACAGTCAGTCACGACTCTCCTATGGTTCATTATGACCCCTATTTCACAGGTGGGCAAACCGTGGCGCGAAGAGGAATCCAGGCCAGCCCTCCAGCTGTTCACCTACTCCGGGGTCGCAGGGCAGCGTTCGGGAGCTTGGGCTCCCGCGCGCGGAGCACGAATCCCCAGTGCCGCGGGTACAGGTCCCGGGGTCCGAGGCAAAGCGGTCCAGGGCCCAACCCCGCCACCTCTGCCAGCGCGCCCAGCTTGGCCCTCGCGTCTCCAGGTTTCTTCGCGTCCTCCCGGAGGGCGCAGGCTGGGGGCGGGGCCTCTTTGTTGTTGTTTCTCTGGGGCCACGCCCCCGAGGGGGGCGCGGACCACGCGGCCGGAGGGCCCGCCTCCCCTCCCCCTCCCCGCCTAGCTCGCCCGCCTCTTTGTATCCAACATCCGGGTTTCCCCGCTGGCTCGGCTCCGCGGCCGCGGCTCAGGAGCCATTTTGGACTCGGTTCAGCTCCCCTCCCCCCACCCCTCCCCCCGTTCATGGCCCCTCCGGACTCGGCCCCTGCGCCGGGGGCCCGGGCCCAGCCCCACCACGCTATGCCTGAATCGGGCGCGCCCCGGCCCGCGCCCCGCCGCCGCCCCCCGGTCCCCGCGTCGTCCCGGAGCCCGGGCCGCAGCCTGCGCCGCCCGCAACAGCCCTGAACCCGGCCCCGCCACCCGGCCCTTGGAGCCAGCCCGCTGCCCGGGGACGAAGGCGCAGAAAGTGCGCTGGGAACGAGACCGAAGGAAGGATCGAGAAGGAGAGCGCAGCCGCCGCCGGGCCCTGCGCGCCCCAGGAGCGCCGCGCGGCCCTGCCCGCGGGCTCCGGGTGTCCGCGGGGCGGCGCCGCGGAACATGACGGCGCCCTGGGCGGCCCTCGCCCTCCTTTGGGGATCGCTGTGCGCGGGTAAGGACAGGGCGCGGCGTGGGGGGCACGGGGAGGGCGCGCGGGGCCAGCCTCGGGCGGCGCGCGGTGTTTACCAACAAAGGGAGGGCCCCACGGCCTCCTCGCCGCGCCACCTGCACCCAGCTGGCACCTCCCGGGGCGGGGACTGGGGGCGCGCCGGGCTCCCGGCTCGCTGATCTTGGGGGGGGGGGATGATCTTGTTTCCGCGGCGGTCTGTAGGGCTCCGGTTCGCGGAGGCGACCCGATGATGGGGGCCGAGACCCGGAGCCCCAGGGTCGGGGTTCGGGCTACGCGGGCGCGTGGAACCCAGGGAGAATGAGAGGAAAACCAGAGCGTAGGGAAGGTAGCCAAGCGGGGCGGGCAGATCTAATCCTAGGATGGCGTGTTTGTTAGGTGCAGCAGCAGCGGCTGGGGGGAGGGCTGCGCGACCCTTAGTGCCACTAGGTGTAGCGAAGCGAGGGGTTTGCTTCTCATAACTCGGAGGGGTCCCCATTCCACCAGGGTCTGCGTCGTATTCCGCGCAAGGCGGGATGCTGGCACCCGTTGCCACCTGAGCCCGCTTTCCCTGCGATAGGCTCAGAGCGCGAGGTGCAGCCTCCCCGCGGGACCGCTTTGTTTTGGGCGCCTGGGATGGGAGGTGGGGCGAGAAGAAAAACCAACAGGTCTCTGTTCGCTCTGGCCTCCGGGAAGCACGTGGCGTGGGTGGGTGACCCGCGGGGCTAGCGTTCGGCTCGCGCTGGTGTGGTTGAGGGTGTGTGGGTGCGGGTGTATACATGAAGAGCTCTGCCAGGAAGGTGGCTTTTCCCTAAGGCCGAAGCACCGATTTCCCTCTTCTAGCGGTGCTGGGGCGCGCCCAAATTGGGTGTGCGCGCAGGAACGGGCTCGGCGCTCTGGGTTAGGATGGCTTCAGGCAGCCCTGGAAAGCATGCGGAGTCTCGCATTGAAGCTCCAGGGAGAAGTCCGGGGCGGTCTGGGCCGCTGGTGCGCGGCAGCCGGAGCGTCGGGTCCTGCGCGTCTTTGTTCCCAGCCCCCATTACACATGCAGCGCGGGTCCCTAGCTGCCCGAGGTGGCAGCAGCGCGGAGTCTGGGAAACCCGCGAAGGGCGGGGCCGGGCGTGCAGGGGCGGGGCTGGGATCCCCGCGCTGCTGGGAGGGTGGGGATCCGGGATCTCCATCCCATCCCCACCCCCACTCTGTCCGCTTCATTTGCAATGTAGCTTGGTTAGCTGTCTACATCAAAGCAAGTGAATTCTCTGTGTGGGGCTTAGTGTTACCTAATCTGCATGTAGGGACCAGAGGATAGAGACCTTCTTGTTGGTATCCGGGCGCTCTGGGAGAGGGCTTCATGGCTCTTTCGGAGCCATTAACTGTGTGGCAGAGGCAACGTGGTGGTGGTGACCTTTTTCTCCTTTCTGCCCCTGGTCCTTTTAAGCGCTGCTTTGAGATGCTTTTTCCCAAAGACAGAAAGGCATTGGCCTGTAGAGGGGAGGGTGGCAGCAAGCTGATTTAATAGGCACGTACACTTCACCTGACTGTCTCTAGAACCCTCCTGGACATTCCCGGGATCCGGATACCCTCTCCTAATTTGACTCACTCTGGCCTCATCAGACTCACCACCCTCTTCGATTAGGCAGGGCAGGATGGATTCCCCCACTCCCCCCCCAGCACTGTATTTTCCTCTTTTCCCCCTTTCTCCCCCCTCCTTTCCCCTTTGCTCCCCCTCCCCCCCTTGGCTTGGGCAGTACCCTGCAAGGTGGGGCAGCTGGAGTTAGACTGAAGTCCACCAACCTGTGTTCCTACCCTGGAAGGACTGTGAGGGTCACTGGGCGTTTCTTGTGGTCACACCAGCCAGTCCTCTGGTGGCCACTGCTCTGACCTGTGAGGAGCTGTGGGAAGAGCTGCCCCAGGCCCAGGTGGGGACAGGGCTGGCCCTCCTGTTCCTTTGACTTCGTGGATGCTGTTCCTTCAAGCGCCTGGCTTTCTGTTAGAATTACCCCCCACCCCCTGTGGCATACAATGTCCTTGTAGAAGGAAGATCTAGAACAGCTCTGTCCACCAGAAATACAGTGTGAACCATATACATAACTTACAATTTTCTGGTAGTCATGTGAATAAAAAGAAACAGGTGTGTCTTAGTCTTCCCCGGCTGTTTATAACAAAATACTATAGACAGCGTGACTTAACACTATTTTCTCACAGTTCTGGACGGTGGAAGTCCAAGGTCAGTGTGCCAGCACAGTAGGGCCCTCTTTCTGGTTTGCAGATGGCTGCCTTCTCAGTGTGTCCTCACATCGCTTTTCCTTGGCACTCGCTGGGGGGAGAGAGATTGTTCCTTTCCCATTAACCCAGCCGTTCTCAACCTGTGGGTCGCGACCCCTTTGGGGGTCAAACAACCCTTTCACAGGGGTCGCCTAAGACCATCAGAAAACAAAAAGATATTTACATTACAATTCATAACAGTAACAAAATTACAGTGATAGAGTAGCAACGAAAATAATTTTATGGTTGGGGGTCACCACAACATGAGGAACTGTATTAAGGGGTCACGGCATTAGGAAGGCTGAGAACCGCTGCTTAACCCCATCTTGAGGGCCCCACCCTCACAACCTAGTCTAACCCGAATTACCTCCCAAAGGCCCCATTTCCAAATATTGGGTGTTAGGGCTTCAACTATGGATTTGGGGGAGAAGTGGGGGGACACAAACATTCAATCCATAACAAGGTGAAATTTAATGATATATTTTACTTAGCCTAATATATACAAAATAATCATTTCAGCATTCATGAATATTAAAACGATGAGGCATTTAACATTATTTTTTATACTGTTTCAAAATCGAGTATGTATTTTATACTTATAGTACATCTCAACTCACACTTTCCACATTTTAAATGCTCAGTAGTCACATTTGGCTAGTGGCTAACATATTGGATGGCGCAGACCTAGAAGAAAAGGCAGAATTTATGTTGTAATAATGGCGCATGTTCAGTTACCTTCCACAAGTCTTTGGTGTTCTGTGTCTGTACCGGTGTCCTTGGGAAACAAGTCGTTTGGATCTTGCTGCTGACATCTGTCTCTGTACTGTACTTGGGGTTCAGATTAGGGCGTGTGGGGGCAGGGTGGAGAGTTTTTATTATTATTATTATTATTTTTTTTTAATTTTTTTTAGCTGAGCCATCCTGCCACCTGTTGGCAGCTCAGCCGCAGCTCAGCTGGAGCCGGGCATTGAATGGCTGTTGCTCAGAGCCCGCACTCTTGAGGAGAGCGTTTTTCTTGGAATGTTAGGAGCTACTGGCTGGGGAGAAGGACCCCACTCCTGTCTGTCCTATCAGGAAATGCAGGCCTTGACTGCTCCAGCCTGCCCTCAGAGGCTGGCTACTCTCTGACCCAAAGTTGTCCATTTCCTCAGGGAAGAAGTGTGTGTTTGTGGGTCAAGTGGTGCTCTGGCCCTATAGTGGTAACTGTCAAGGACGTGGACCATAGGGCCGTTGTGCTTGCTGGGCACTCCAGGCTCTGCCCTGCCTGGCTGGCTGGGCTGTGCTTTGGGAGGAGTGGGCCCCTCCTCAGCTCTGGGAGGCTCTCCAGGATAGATGATGTGAGAAACGTGCCCATCCTCCCAGGCTGTACAGCTGGGTGAAAACGTAAGACCCAGAACCCCGTGGCCCCCCACAGCTTGGTGGGCCTCTGTGGTGTGCTACCTGTGGGGTCTTTCTGGGCGTGGAGGATCCCCAATTAGCACCTGGACTTACCCTAGCACTTCACCCAAGGAACTTCCTTTGCAGGGACACCAGTGAAGAGCCCCCATGCTACACCATGACCCCTTGTATCATGGGCTTCTCTGAGAATCTGATGCAAGATGTGAACCCTTCCCCCAAGAAAATACAAATAAGTGTGTGTGTGTGTGTGTGTGTGTGTGTGTGTGTGCACGTGCATGGGCACACGCACATTACACATGCACGCTCACTGTTTTGCACTCATACCAAGAACCTGTGGCCCCCTAGGTTGGACTCTATGAAGTCCTGGTGGCCCTGCACATACCCATTGTACCAGTCCTGAGGGGCAACTTGCTGTCCTTGGGGGCACCCTGGGTTTGTTCCCATCTTGCTGCTTCAACTAAACCTATTCTAGTCACTGGACATGACTTCTTTACTTCTGCTTTTTGTGATGCTGCCTAGTGTTCAGATTCCTGCCCTGGTCCCTTGCTGTCCCCCTCCTCTGAATGCCAATGCATCCGGCCCCCAGCCTGGGAGCTCAGGGTAGTGCAAGTGGGGACCAAGGGACTTCAGGTCAGAGTTTAAATCCACTTGCAGTTACTGGCCTGTGACCGTAGACTGTGATCTGGGGACTGGTCTGGGTAATACTTTTGAGAATGACACTGGATAGACAGCCCTCAGGCAGGGTCCTGGCAGGGTGAGTCTCATGCTAGAACAGGGTTTCTCAACCTTGACACTGTTGACAGTTTGGACCTGATGATTCTTTGGTGTGTGTGTGGAGGGGGGTGAGGGGGGTTGGATATGCAAGCAGAGCTGTCCTGGGCACTGTAGGATGTTTAGCAGCATCCCTGGCCTCTACCCACTAAATGCTAGTAGCACTTCGAATCATGACAACCGAAAATGTCTCCAGGCATTGCCAAATGTCCTGGGTGGGTGGGGGTGCAAGATCACCTCTGGATGAGAACCTCTGACCTAGAATGTTCTCATGCTTTTAAAGAGACAGACAGTTGTGGGAGGTCGTGTTCATGGCTAATGCCTACCCCCCATCAGATGCAGGGTGGGAGGCTGGGGTTTCCTCAAAGCCTAGGAGATTCCGGTCTTTGATAAACCTGCTCAGTGGGGGAGAGTTTGGTTGGAACTTAGTGGTTTAGGAGCACTGCTGGCCACCGAGGAGAATCCTGGCGTCCTTGAGTTTTCCCAGAAGTGGTTCGGGTTTCAGGGAGGCAGCGGTTGTGGGTGGCCGGGCAGCTTGCCCGCCCGCACCCGCCCACCGCCTCTGACCGCTG